CACACACACACACACACACACACACACACACACACACACACACACCACACACACATACCACGCAGAGGCTGGAGTAGGAGCCCTTTCCTCGGCTTTCCCACACTCTGTCCCTGCTCTGGTCCTGTGACTGGAGCTCCTGAAGCCAGGGACGTGTTTTCTGGTCTTTCTGTCTCTGGTGTCTCGCGGGGACCTGGCAGGGCAGTTCTGGATGACTGTTTGCCGAGAAGTGGGAGGGAGAGACTCCGTGCAGGAGGGGGGCTTGTTCCCTTGACTCGGGGTCACCCCACTTTCCTTGTGATCAGTGCAGCTTCCAGGGGCTCCGCCGGCTGGCCGGGCGCTCTGGGCAGGGTAGCTGGCCCCTCTCCTCCCTCGCAGCCCTGTTGGCCCCAAGGGGGAGAACAGGGGCGTCCTTGGTCCTGACTCTCTTCCCAAGACTGCACAGTTGTCCCCTCCCCCTATTTTCTCTAGCTCCCTCCAGCCTCTCCCAGATCCAGCAGACTTTCCAGAGGCCTTTGTGCCCTGGGCCTCCTCTTGTCTAATCCCTGCCGTGGGGACACCGGCCCCCTCGCCAGTGCTTGCTGAGGATTTCCCCTGATTGGGGGGCTCAGGTAGTGGTCACCTTTAAAGGTGGTGTCCATGGTGGCCCTGGGGGCGGCGGCATGGTACCCAGGGCTAAGGCAGACAGTTGTCTTCTGGGCGCAGGACGGGGGCACTGTCCCAGGAGGCACTCACACCGGTGAGTTCTTCTCTGCTAATGAAGGTTAAAAGGAAATTTTATGGGGAATTCCCTGGCGGTCCAGTGGTTAGGGCTACACGCTCTCACTGCCGAGGGCCCAGGTTCAATCCCACTTGGGGAACTAAGATCTCACAAATCCTACAAGCTTCACACCATGCAGCATAGCCAAAAAAAAAAAAAAAAAAAAAAAAATTTTACGGAGCCAGTTGTGGACCCAGACAGGACCTGAAGGGAGAGACGGATCACAGCCTGGAGTCGGACGGCCTGGGTTCGGGTCTCAGTTGGCCTGTTTCTGGCTGATTGCCGTGGGCTAGTTATTAGTCTCTGGGTGCCTCTGTCGTCTCGTCCATGCTCTGGGGGCAAGTGATGACCAAACGAGTGACCCTGAAGCACAGCACAGGCCTGCACGTGCACGTATACACACACACACACACGGGGCACCACAGACAGTGACTCCCAGTCCCCTCCATCCCGTCCTCATCTCCCCTCGGCAGGTCTGCCGGCGGGGGGCCTCCCCAGTCACGCCCCACCCACCCACTCACCAGAATCGAGGTGGAGATGCCCTCCAAGAAGTGGCCAAAAAGCCAGAAGGTGTCCCTCATGGGCCTAACTGGGACCTTGCTCCTCTCAGGCTGAAGGCGTGAAGGCCGAGCCCTTTGAAAACCACTCAGCCCTGGAGATCGCGGAGCAGCTGACCCTGTTGGACCACCTGGTCTTCAAGAAGATCCCTTATGAGTGAGTGGGTGCAGGTTCAGACACCCCACCCTTCCTCCTCGGGCACCGTCTTTGGCTGAATTCCCATCCCTGAAGCATGCGCAGTAGATTTCCAGAGCTGCATGGATTGATCCTCCACAGCTTGCAACAAAAATGCATGTGCCGGCAGGGATGAGAGAGGATCCCATCCCCTTTCCTGTCCCCAAGTTCCGTCCTTACCTACCAGCTACACGCGCGTGCCCACGCGCACGCGCACACACACACACACTTTTCCAGAAGCGTCTCTAATTCGGTGCTCCTTTCCTGGAGGTCTAGAAAAGGAGTATGTGTTCACGTATGTGCACACATGTACATGTGAGCAAATGTGCACACACGCATGAGTGTGTGTCGGTGTGTATGCATGTGCAGGAGCAGACTCTGGGGGGACTCTCTGGACTTTGAAGCAGCCCCAAGGCCTGGTTGTTACCTGCTCTGGCCTGTAGTCAATCACCCCCAGCTGTTCATTGTAACTATACCACCTACATAATTTTGTACCACCCTTTATTCGCCTAACGGTACACCAAAATGGTATCTGTAAAGACACCGTTTTTAATAAGTGCACAGTATTCCCCAGCAGTGCACTAAGCCATGGGCTTGTTCCCAGTTTTCACTTTTATATTTAAAGCTGGGGTAAACCTCCCTGTAACTAAATATGTCTCTGAATTTCTGACAATTGTCCTAGAATAGTTTCCTGAAATTGGAATCACCGCTTCTGAGGTTATGAATCATTGTAGGACTTTTGATCTCTGCTTTCCAGAAAGGTAGCCCCACCTGGCACACACAGAGGCCCCCACTGACTGGGGCACTACCTCACCTAGACAGAGAGTGTCGACAGTTTAGAAACCTGCCGCATCTCCTGCATGTAGAGACAGCAGTTATTTCTGACAGTAGTTATTGCTCCCTCCTGCCCATGGAACTGTCCAGGTCACTCTCACAGTCACTATCAAATAAGGAGCTTCTCCTGGAGGCCTGGATGGTCTATGGTCCCATGAGGTCACCATTACCAGAGCACGCTGCTGGCTTGGCTTGCAAGCTCCTTTGTACTTCCATCTGGCCCTTTTTTGTGGGCTTCTGTCCTCCCTGTTCTACAGACCAGCTTCTGCAAGGTGACTTTAAAACGGGAGCTCTCCCATTCAGAAACAAGATCCAAAACAAGATCTGATGTGCCCATCGCACCATATCTCATTTCAGCCTCACAATAACCCTGTAAGAAAAGTATTGTCACTATTCCCGTTTCACAGATGAGGACACTGAGGCCCTGAGATATCAAGGGCTTACCCAAAGCCACACAGCTGATACGAGGCAGAGCTAGACCTGACCCCAGGGTCCCTTCCTCTCGAGGGCTCTGCAGAAAGTTACTCCCCAGAAATGACAACTTCAAAAAGCAGAGAACTCAAAGCAAAGAAATCAGCAAGGCAAACCTAACCTCATCCACCCTGGGTTTCTCCCTTTCTTCCTACAGGGAGTTCTTCGGACAAGGATGGATGAAACTGGAAAAGAATGAAAGGACCCCTTATATCATGAAAACCACTAAGCATTTCAATGATGTGAGTATGCGGGTAGGGGAGCGGGTGCAGTGCCTTTCTCTGCAGGTTTCTCTTCGGTGAGACCCTCTGAACGGGCTGTACACCTGGCTAGAACCAGACCACCTGGGTCCTCTCCAGCTCTGTGATTCATGGGCATGATAATTTCATTTAAAGCTCACGCCCATCCTAAAAGATGGGGGCTGTTATCACACTTTAGATACAAAGAAACCGAGCCTCTGCAGGGCAGACACCTGAGGTCTCCTGACCAGTGTCTGGTAGCTCGTGGCCTTCCTCTGCTCTACAGCCCCAGCCAGAAGGAAGAAATCTCTCCCGGCAACTTCCCCGCATTTGCCCAAGCTCCAGCCCCTGCAGCCGCAGGGACCCGTCTACCCCCAGCCTTGTGACAGCCTTGAGGGCATTTGCACTCAGCATCTTCATTCCTCTGTTGATGAATTTAACCATCAACACAAAAGCTTTTGACGGCCGGAAGTGGAGGCATATGAGTCCACTTGTCCTGACCGCCTGGTCGAGGCCGCATCATGTCACGCACAGCCGGGGGTGGACCTTCATCCTGGGAAGGTCCTCGGCAGCCTGGAGGAAACAAGGAGGACCCAGGTATTGCAGCTCAGGGGAGGAGCCCGACAGGGAACACAGCCGTAGAATGGAGAGCAGGATGTATAGCAGGAGAGAGGAAGCGATGGATGTGGGCGAGGCCCCAGGAAACACACACAAGGCCTGAGTCGGACGACGCCTGACCCAAAAGTCCAACCACAGCACCAGGCAGCAAAAACAGTCCCTCTCCGGGGACTTCCCTGGTGGTCCAGTGGTTAGGACTCCACACTTCCAATGCAGGGGACGTGGGTTCCATCCCCGGTCGGGGAGCTAAGATCCCACATGCTGCACCGCGCGGCCAAAAATAAAAAGTCCCTCCCTCTCCCCCCCCCCACCCCCTCCCCCAGTGTGTGCCCAGGAATCACGTAAGTAAAAGGTGAGAATATGAAGTGAGCATTTATTGAATGTTGACCATGTGCCAAGCACTACGCCAAGGGTTTCGTAAGCATCATCTCATTTAATCCTGTTATTCTCATTTTTGTTTAATTCTCTGTTATGGATGAAGAAACCGAGGCTCAAGGAAGTTAAAGTTCACCCCCAGTCATCAGCAGGAGAGCCTGCTTTGAACCCCCACAACCCACCTCCAGAGGGCTACCCTCATCGCTACCTGGTATTTGGCCATCTCTGTTAAAATCCACCTTCCTTTGTTTTCAGGTACACAGCATGTGTACCTCTTTGAAGGTGATATTCACGGCCTGAAACTCTGTTTCTTAATCTCTCCCTGGCACAGGGTTTGGTTTGCTTTTGTTTTTGCTGTTTCCCAGTCCTGTTGTCTTTAATTCTTTATCTTATTGATTGGTACCGGCTAGGATCTCCAGTATCAGGGCTAGAACTAGGGTAAGTTGAACGAGGTGCTCAGGGGGCAAAATTTAAGGGACTGTTCACCCTTGAGTGCATGCACTTGCACCCTGGGTGCCTCCAGACCTGGCCCTTTATGACAGTGTTCAACAGAAATGGTGATAGTGAATCTTGTTCTTGGTTTTAAAGAGAATGCTTCTAATATTTCCCTGCTTAGGATAATGTTTGTTTCTTTATCAAGTTAAAGAAATTCTTTTTCTTATTCCTTGTTTGCTCATAGTGGTTTTTACTATAAATGAATACTGCATTTTATCAAAAATTTTTCTGTATCTATTGAGATGGTCGTATGATTTTTCTCCTTTAAATCTGTTGATGTGATGAATGACAGTTACAGAGTTTTCTCTAATATTCAACCATCCTTGTGTTCCATGGACAAATCTAAAATATTCATGTTATATTAAACAAATGGAAGTGTAATTTTTCCTTCTTGTATTTTCTGTATCTGGATTTGGTATCAAGATTGTACTGGCTTCATAGAATAAATTGGCAGGTGTTCCTTTTTTCTCTCTTCTCTGGAAGATTTGACCACTCTATTCCTTTAAAAAAGTTATATAACATATGTAAAACTGTTTTGAATTCAGTGTTTTCTTTATGGAAAAAAAAAAATACTACTTCAATTTAATTAAGGTTTATAATATGTGTGCTGTTTTGTACTACCATTCCTCCCGGATTCTCTTCAGTAGTTTTCCCTTCTTAAATAGTTTTATAATTCATTCTTCTTTATATGCATCCCTTAGAAATTTTTCTAAAGAAGAATATTTCTGGGTGGTAAAACCCTACAATTTATATTCATCGGTAACTGTCCTTTAATCACCTTTATGTTTTTTAATAACAAGTCGTGTTTTTTGTACTTTTTATTTTTAAATAATTATTGATTCATAGGAAATTGCAAAGAAATGTACAGGGAGGTCCAGTATTTCCTGCTGCCCCAGTTCCTTGTGGTTGTAGCTCCCTGATGTTTTGGCCCCAGCTTCCTACCCCCTGGCTGCTCCAGGTCCAGTCCACATTTAGTTTGTTTGTGTGTATGTGATTGTTTGCTGTGCAGGGGTAGAGTAGTCCTTGGATATGTGAGACCAGGGATGCCCCAAAGTGTGTGTCCTATCCAAGCTTTAGTTGTATGGTGGGAGTTTCCCTCAGAGCTTGGCTCTTCTTAACTCTCTGTTCTTCTGGATAAACTTCAGAATTACTTTGTCAAGTTTTCAAGATAACTCCCATTGCGTGTTTTATTGGATTGCATTAAACTTGTACATTAGTTTTGAAAAAAGACATATTTACCTTTCCATTTTGGAATCTAATCTTTTCCTTCATTAATCAATTCTTTTATTACCTTTGGTAATAAAAGGTATTTTTATTTATTTTTCATGTAGCATCCTACATAGTTCTCATTACAGGTCCCAGGTAATTTCCAGATTCCCACTGGTATTTTGAAGATGGTATCTTTTTTCATTGTATTTTCTAATTGGTATTGCTAATATATAAAAAAAAAATTATTTTTGTATATTGAGTCTTTAACCAGCTACCCTAATGAGCTCCATTGGTTGTTCTGGCAGTTTTCCAATTCATTCTTCCAGGAATTTTCAAACAGACAATCATTTAATCTGCAAATAATGGTGATTTATCATCTTTACAATACTTACTCCTTTTACTTTTTTCTTATCTTATTGCATGGGCTTAAAGATCAGTAACTTGATTGCTTCAGAAATCATCCGCAATGAGGACATCAATGCGAGGGTGAGCGCCATTGAGAAGTGGGTGGCCGTGGCTGACATATGCCGATGCTTACACAACTACAATGCTGTTCTGGAGATCACCTCATCCATGAACCGGAGCGCAATCTTCCGGCTGAAAAAGACATGGCTCAAAGTCTCTAAGCAGGTGCGGGCAGGAAGCCAGCTTGGCCTGATGGTCTGGGCTGGGGCTGGGGCGGAGAGACCAGAGGGCCACCATCCATAGGTGGATGAAGGACAGGGTGAGGGCCAGTACTCCCAGGTAAAACAGAGAACCTCTCCTCCTATTTCACCTGGGACCAGATGTCAGGCCAACGGATGTGGCACTAGGACCTTGTGGGACTTTAATTCCCACTTGAATAATCAATATGCCAAAGTGGGATATAGGACAATGATTATTGGTCCCAACACTCTTTTCCTTGAGTTGGGACAAAAGAGTGGTGACTTCTTGGGGATCTCAGTCCAGATCTGCAGGTTACCGAGATGGTGGCCAGATGATCCTGCAAGTCCTTTCCTCGGATGTTGATTTCACCAGCCCTTCTGGCCCCCAGAGAGTTAACTTGTCCCTGTTACCCATTAGATAATATGTGATCTTAAATATGGGCTTGATCTTTATTCACTCAGAACCTGATTCTGAAAAACCATAAGGTGGAATCTTCCTCAGGAATAAAGCTCCTTGCCCTGGGGTCACGAGGAGGCAGATCTCCTGAAAGGAGAGCACAACGGGACACTTAGGCCACCTCCTTTCTGGGTGCACTGGATGTCCCAGCCCCAGCCTGCATGTTGGCAGAAAGCTGGACAGTGACCACCAAGGGACAGGGTAAACCTCCAAAGGCACCAGTTACTTGGTTATAGTGTCTCTGGTCCTACAGCCAGGTGGGCTGTGTGGGGCCCAGGGTCTCCAAGGGGCCTGTCCCATCTGGACCGTTCTGGACTTACCCCCCTCATAGTTCTGTTTCTCCCCTGCCCCTCACTACTCTCCTCGTGCCAATGGCAGGGCATGATTCTACTCCCCAGGCAGGCAGCAGGTCCATAAATCCCTCCTACTTAGATAAGCAGCCAATCTCAGGACAGCCCTGGGACGTCTCTGCTGCCCTTCCTCTGCCAGCCAATCACTGCAGCTCCAGATTCCAGCAGGACTGCAAAGTACCCCTTCCATCCAATGAGGCTGGGCCTCTTGCTTAGCACACAGAGATGCCAGGGTCAGGACGAAAACCAGAAGATGTCTCTCTTGTGAGCGGGCTTCTAGAAAGAACAGAGGCTGGAAGTGCGGGAGCTCAGGTGAGCAGGCACATCTGGCCACACGTGGCACACAGTGTCATAAACTCCTGAAGTCGGGTTGAGCAAGGCTGCCACAGAACCTCTAAGTCATCTAGGCTGGTCGGCCTGTCGAGGTTCAGACGTGGCTATGGGCAGAGTCTGAGGGACCCATTTCAGGTCAGCATCTTTCTTCTCCCGCCCTATTCCATCAGAATGATGTCATCTTTTCTAGAAGCCCGCGGACCAGGCTCCATTTTCCTACCCCATTTCTGGGGGTGTGGGAATTTCTTGGCTTCATTCCCCAGCGTCACCCTTGTCATAGAGTTGGCAGGGAACTGCCTTGACCATCCTGAAGTCTTCCATTCTCTGAGGAGAGTGCAAATGGAGAGCAGTTAGAGGTCAAGGTGTGTGATCTGTCCTGCCTTCTGGGATGTCATGCAAGACCTAGGGCCAGCCAGCCTGGTCCAAAAATCAAAGATGCCTCTGAAAACACATCTAGGCCTGCACCCTCTATGGCAGACTGGGCCACACTGGCTTCCCCCAGCCCTTCAGTTTGCGCTATAGTTGTCCGTGTGCATAGTGCCCGGCTCCAAGAGCTTCTGGGTAGCCATGGCCGTGGCCTGGTCAACACCAACCAGGAACAGTTCACTGTCCCTCTGCAGGTATCCCATAGGCCAAGATGGCCACATTTCTGCAGCTAGTTTTTTTTTTATCATTCCCTTCCATGTGCCAGCCCAAAGCAGAAAAGCCTGTGTCCAAGTCCAGTCTAGCCTCGGCAAGAGTCAGAATTAGTTTGGGATGTCCGGTGCCTCCCCTTTCTTCTTCCAACCTCTCTTCCCATCCTCTTTGAAAATAAAAACTTTCCCTCGGGAAAGGATCAGATGATGCATCTCTATAGGATGATGCAGATGACTAATGCAGTTATATGTGCTTCCTCTCCCTGGAATGGTTGGATTTCAGTAGAGACATAAGCCTCTCTTTGACTAACTATACTTTTTGGCTTCTTTGGAAGGAGCAGCCTTGGCCATCCAGAAGTCTTATTTGGTGAACAGGAAAGGATGGTATTTAAGAGGCCATATATAATCATCTTTCGTCCTGACACTATTTCCAAGGCAGGCTCCTTGCTTGGTCTCTGGTTTCAGAGACGTGTTCCAAGTGCTCCCATATTTCGGCTCCCTGGTGTCCATACTCCAGCAGAGATGCCCAAGGCCCCAGGGGGCCTGCTAGCCCAGTGAGCCTCAAAGGATGGAAGCTCCTGGCATGGCCAGAAGGTGCTTGAGCTGCTTCAAGTCAGAACACACTTTCTAAGCAGCAGCTGGGAAAATCCAGTGGCCTCCCAGGATACACATCTCCTTCCTGGACAGAGAGCAATAACCGGAAGAGGAGCAGACACACACCTCAAGTAAGCACGCAGGTGCGGAAGAAATCAAAGTGTGCCCACCTCAGAGCCACAAATTGGCCCCAAGTGTATGCAAAAACCCCACCCACCAGAATATCCTTTGTACCTTTTCATGGTCTCTAAGCGTGGTGATGCTACGTGGCTGTGTAGCTTTTATGTCACCCACAATTCTGGACTGTCTGAACGAGTATTGCCCTTAAGGAACACCTGGACCTACCCTCCCATTTTCCAGATACGAAGGTCAAAACCTAGCAAAGTGAGTGGAGCGCTACCTTGCCCACGGGCGTGCTGAGGGTGGGCGACAGAGTCCACTGAGGGCTCTGGACACTCAGACCCCACATCTGGCCTCAAGCTGCAGCATCTCATGTCTCTGCAGGTGGAGGGGAAAGAAGAGGAGGCAAGAGCACAGCTCTGGAAAGAGATGAAGTGCAGGAGGGCCGTTGAGAGCCTGGGGTGGAGGTTGGCCTGGGCGTCTGAGAAGGGTCATCGCAGGTGAAAGCAGAATCACCTGCCCTTGGCTTGGTGGGGCTCGTTCCATCCTGGCCTGCGGCTCTTTCACCAGATCCAGAATAAATGTTTGCTTTGAGCAGGGTCAGTCCAAACCAGGCGGCAAGACTTCGGATTGATAGGAGGGACCGAGCAAATGGGTGTGCTTTGCCATCCTTTCTCCTTGAAGAGTGCACACCAACCTCTTCTTCCATCAGAAGGAAGATTTAGCTTGTCGTCTTCCGCAGGCAGTTTTCTCAGATAAAAATTAGACCCGACGATCAGGGGTGTACTTGGCCTCTGTGGCCAGTGTCCCCTCCAGGCTGAGTAGCCCCTCTGGTAATAAGATGCATGGCTGGTCTCCGGCCCGGTTTCTCAACCACATTCTGGATTCTGAGGATTAGAGCTGGAAAGGTGGTCACTAGTCATCTCCCCGTTTTATGAATGAGGGCGCTGAGGACCTCAGAGGTGAAGGGGTTTCCGCAGGTCATGCAGGAGAAGCACAGAGCCAGGCTCCACCCAGGACATGCTCTGTGGCACACAGCTGGTCCCTTAAGACAAACTCCAGCCACCCAAGTTGCTCCGGCCTGACACGTCAGCAGGGCCTGGCAGGTCATTTGGCAGATGGGACCCTTTGCTGCAGGGTTTCCTCTTCTCCATCAAAGTCTTTTCTCCTTTGATGATCAGTTCACCTGCCATCTTTTTTTCTTGCTTCTTAAATCTGGGTGGTGCTCCTGATATAGCAAAGTGAAGGTATGAGAAGATGGTCACATCTTTTGGGTACAGTCATTAGAAAGATCGTGATGATGACGCATCGGCCATGCCCTGTATCGGGTCCAGGTCCCTGGAGTTACCCCCGCCAAGTCCTTCCCAACCAACCAGCTCTCAGGACCCTGACACTTGGACCCTCCTGACCCTACTCCCATGTTTCTGAAAGATGTATGAGCACGGGCAAGCAAAACAAAGATCCGTGTCTGCCTCCTCAGGAGTCCAGGGTCAAGTCCCCAGACCCAGGAAGTCCCCAAATCCCCATGCCCTATCTCGAGGAGGCAAAGCGAAGCCCCGGAGTGTGGGCCAGAGTCGCGGGCCTTGCTGTGTGCTGTGTGCTAGTAAATACTTCTAATTCCTTCTAGACAAAAACTTTGATTGATAAGCTCCAAAAGCTTGTGTCGTCAGAGGGCAGATTTAAGAATCTGAGAGAAGCTCTGAAAAAGTAAGTGTGTGTCATTTTGTCACCATTATTTTTTAAATTGGAGAACCACACTGCAGAGGCATTCACGTGCCACCCCTGGCTGGAGCAGGAGGTCTGTCTGTCTGTCCATCTGTCTACCCACAAGACCGACCCCTACACATCCCAGACCCCCAGGGCAGGTCAGCTTTGTCCTCCATCTTCTACCAGAGAAATTCCAAGGTGTCAGGGCATTTCCCAGGAGAGGCACAGCAATAGCCTTGAGACGTGCAGTAGCTGTGATGATGATAATAGTGGTGCCGGATTCCTTGATTCCAAAATGCACGTTTTATTTTACATTTTACCATTTCTGACATCAGGATGCATCTCACAGTCAGTGTATTTATTTCGTATGATTGTGTTTCCTTTTTGTACTGGATAATTAGTCATCAAGACAAGAGTGCATTTTACACACAATGGCATCTTGGAATCGAAGAAATACGGTTTTACCAGTAATTTACACCTTACAGTTTGCAAAGTTTGTGCCCTGCCTGGCCATGGTGTGTGCAGCCCCATTAACGCTGCCTGGGAGGTGGGCCTTCTCAACCTCGGCCTTCTTGTCCTTTAGACCAGGAATTTGTTTTTTTTTTTTGCCACACCATGCGGAATGTGGGATCTTAGTTCCCCAGCTAGGGTTCAAGCCTGCGCCCGCTGCAGTGGAAGTGCAGAGTCTTAACCACTGGACCACCAGGGAGGTCCCTAGACCAGGACAGTTTTTGTCGTGGGGACTGTCCTGTGCATAGAAGGATGTTTCGCAGTATCCCTGGCCTCTACCCATGAAATGCCAGTGTCCGCCCCGCCCCCCCCCCCAGTTATGACAACCGAGAAGGTCTCCAGACATGGCCAGCTATCCTCAGGGAGGCAAAATCGCCCCCGTTGAGAACCACTGTTGTGAGACAGATTCTCCCATGATGCTTCTCCAGACAAGGACACAGGAACTAGTGGCTGGCCCAAGGATTTGGGGCCATGGTGACAGAGCTGGGCCTCGGCCCAGGCTGGCCTCCCAGGCCAGTGCTCCACGGTTTGCCCGAGGTTACCTCCCATGAGGGTCCAGGCCAGCTCTCCCAGGGCAGCGGTGACTCGGCCCGTTGGTACATGCTGTGGCCACGTACGCACGTGAAATGTGGGTTTGCTCACTCTGGTTAGACGCGCACTTGGGGTTTCTCCACTAGTCTCTGCCACTGTGTTCCCCTCGGGCACTTGAACGTGTGCCCCGTTGGGCTGGCCCTCACCCTCTCTCTCCCCGCCTGGCTGGCTACTTGCTGGACTTTGGAGAGACCCTGGGAGACCCCTAGGGTCCCGGCTCCTTATAGAGCCTGGGAATGCCTTTCCTCCCTTCCGCGAGGGATCACGTGCTCACTGCCAGTACAAGGCCACTGAAGTCCGCGACCACCCAGCACGTCCAGCCTCGCCGGTGGCTCTGACACACCACACACCCGCCCTGCCAGCCCCGTCTGCCTTTCTCGTTTTCTTCCTGCCGTACCTGGTCTGTCCCTTGTGCCGGCTCTGTGTGCCATTGCCTTGACCATCTCCACTTTATTTGTGTCCTCAGACAGATGTTCCACCCATCTGTGCTGTCCGGCCGTCTCTCCTCCGCCTGGGCTCTGCGGAGCCCCCGTGGACTGTGCTTGCGCGGAGCTGCCCACCCCGTGCATTCACCAACCTGTCCGTCCGCCCGCAGGGTGCTCTGCTCCATCAGCCTCCTTCACATGGCTTCCTCGTCCACCGCCGCCACTGCCTCCACCGCGTCCGTGGTCCCCCATTCTGTCCGAGTCCCCATGCTGACTGTCTTCCCTCTTTCAGGTTACCCGTGGGCCTATGTAAGTGCCTCTCCCAGACGCCTCTGCTCCCTGCCACACAGGGCGGAGGTGGCCTTCGGGCATCTGGGCGCTAAGACCTTTATGCAAACCGGGTTCCTGCCTTATGGAGATCTAGGCCAAGCCAGGCAGGGAAGGGCAGATTGGGGCAAACGTGTCTGCACTCTTTCTTCGGAGGCACTAAGGTTTATACTTAGAGCGGTGTTGTGTCAAGGTTTGGGGGTCGTCTCACCAGGCAGGGGACGGGCCGGAGGGAGTGCAGTGAGGTGGTAGGCACAGCTGGTGACCCCCCCCAGACAAGGAGCCCGTGATGGACCCCACCGCGTAAGTCCTCAGACCCATTCAGAGGTCCTGGGCATCCTTTTTCGCCTGTCATTATATCATTCAGCCTTGTGCCAGCAGCCGGGCTAGCACGTGACCTTTTCCCTTTACCGCCAAATCCTGCCTCCCGTCCCCGGCCACTCTCTTAAATATCCCCTGGCCCACCTACGGTGCTTCAGTCCCCTGCCCGGGCGCCCCCAGATGAACGTTATCTACCCTTCTCATTCCCCAAACCACACCCTGGTCCAACCCATGAGACTGTCCCCTCCTCTCAGCCACCCAGGGACCAGAACCTTCCCACAGCTCCAGCCAACAACATGTGGCTGAGGGCTAGCTACGTTCGGCAGTAAAATGCGGTCACCAGCTCTTTGGGGGCCAGTTCCAGTTTTGCCCGTCCATCTCTGACGGGCTCATCTGCACCTTTGTCTTTAGCTTGACTAGGATGCCCACGGAAGGAACGCAGGGGCCGGGCTCTCACTGCTAGCTGCTGCCATGAAAGCCCTTCCCGTCTGTTCCCGTCAGTGGAGGGTGGGAACAGCTCTGGAGGGGCGAGTCTGCTAGCGGACCAGCAGGTCACCACGCAGCCACCTCCAAACGGGGGGAGCATCCGTCTATCTACGTGGATATGATGGATCCAGAGTCCTGGAGTTCCAGAGTCTCAGGGGCTCCATCTTTATTTTCTGTCTGTGGCCCCAGAGCAAAGCCCAGTCTCTTGCTAATGAGACAACAGAGCAGGGAGTATCCAGGAGGCAGAAAGCAAGACTGGACCCCGAGTCCCACCCACACTGCCCACACATTGCCAAAAAAAAAAAAGAAAAAAAAAATTTTTTTTTCCATAACCTGAGTACCTGATTTCCCTGCACCCCATGCCAGCACCGAGACCTGTAAGAGAGAGCAGCCCGTCCCACAGCTGCGACGGGGTGAAGGAGAGGGCTGACCCGTGCCGTCACCGCCCATTTCCTGGGGTCAGGTGGAGCGCCCCTCGGGCAGCTGCATCTCGCTTTGTCGCCAGTACCAGTTAATTTCTTTCATCCCCCTTGACATCAGCAGGAATTTCTTAGTAGAAACATCAAGTGCGGGGGCCCCAAACAACCACAGACAAGATCCAGCTGTCAGGTGTCACCCCGTCTAGGCCTGCCCGGAACGCCAGGAGCAGCTTTTAGGATGGGGGCGGGGCACTTTTCTTTCTCTCCCTGAAACGTCAGACACAGGCATGGCGGGGCTCTGCCGAAAGAGGAAGCGCTCCCCCACACACAGTTTCAGCCTTGTCGGCCCCGCCCTGATCCAGGGCAAGGCTGGATCCCTCCTGACAGGGGCCAGATGCCCACACAGAAAGTTCAGAGCTAGCCATAGGTTGGGTGTTTTGCCTACACGAAGCCCCTACCGTGCTCCCCTGCTCGCTCAGATGCTCAGCACGGTCTGTCTCCATGCAGTGGGGCCCTTTGGGGGCCCTCCACCAGCCCCGTGTGCCCCACACCTGTCCCCACTGCCCCCTACACTGGCCACTCCGACAGCCCCATATATTTACCTACGTGGCTCTGGATTTGGGTTGGTTGGGTGTGCGTGTGTGTGCGTGTGTGTGTGTACATGGTTGAATTAAGAGTGGGGTTCCCTGGACCCCTCACCGTGAAGGTAGTAAACAGGAACAGAGTTTGGTGCTGGGGCTGGCAGTGCCATTTGCCGTGACTAAATTGCCCGTCCATCACCTTTCCACAACTGGATCAGAAATCCCAGTAAACACCTCAGGGAGATCCACCTCCCTGGGAGACCAAAGGACTCCCAGACTTTTTTCACTGGTCTGGGTGGTCAGAGCCCCTGTGAGGCATCCGGAAACACCCTGCGTCCTTCAGTCATTCACAGGCAGCGAGCAGCACCCAGCCTCCCCTTCTGCCTCTATCTGAGATAAGAGGTCCTTTGAGCTCTGCGGGCTACCTGGTTCCCATGAAGGGCAGGGGGAGTGCGGCGCCCCCCAGAACCTGCCGGTCAGCACAGTGCCTCAGCCGTCCAGCTCCAGAGCGGCTGCTCAGACCTTTGAACTCTTTCTCCATCAGATCCACCAGCCTGTGCTCCAGACTTGGAGTTTGACGGAAAGGAAGTGAAAAGCCAGGCATGTAGAAGTCATGGACTATAATGGCCAGAAGGACCCAGAGAGGTCTGCCAGTGACCAGTATGATTCTTGCTTTTTTTTCTTTTTCACAACTCACAGTAAAAAAAAAAAAAAATTGCATTTGACAGTGTGACCCTATATACAAATGCATATATGCATAACAGCAACAAAAATTTCACAAAGCAATTTTAGTCCATGCAATGAACCCAGATATCATCTATTCTCTCTTTTTTTTAATTTTAAAAAAATCTGGTCAACACTCACCAAATTGGTTTTAACACCCATGAAAGGGCGAAGACCGACAGTTCAAAAAACATTTCTCCTGCTCACTGTTTCCCAAACTCCAAGCATCCACCTCCTTCAAGACTTTGCCGTATCCATGTGTCAGCTATATTTGCATTTACTTAATGGTCTCCTTTAAATTAACTCACTATTTCCCAGAAATACATTTAAATAAGAAGGAAAACTCTATACAGCAAATGGGAAACCAGCGTATTTGCCATAAATACACAGGTTACCATAAAAAATAAATACAGTGAAATCAAAATAATATTATTAAATTCTGGCCAGATCCTGGTGTTTCCTGAGTGAGACCTGTTACTATTTGTTCAAAAAGAAAAAAAGAGGAAAACGGCACGTGTTAGAAAGTGTCAAAGCTATGCTCTCACCAAATGAGCTCTCTCCTTGAGCAGTGGGGCGGCAGGGGTAGTGAAAATCTAATGTTTCTTATCATATGAATCAATTTATTTAAACAGTGTCTGGGCATCACCTAAAATCAACTCTCAAATCACTTAAACTTGTCTTAGCTAACATCAGTTCTCTGGTACGAGGGGAACCTGAGGACCAGAGAGGGAAAGAACTGGCCTAGGGTCACACAGCAAGCAGGCAAGGGACAGAGGCCAGGTTTCTGTTCTTGCTCTACCATCCTCCCTGCCTCCCCTTCCTCTGGAGTGGCAGGACTGTCACAAGGAGACAAAGGTGAGATGGGCTAAAAAGGCGGGTCCCTGTACCTGTGTGCTGAGCTGAGAGAAGGCTCCGGAACACTGTTTGAGGAGTCCCCTGGGTGAACTATCTGGAGCTCTGCCAGAGGAGAGTGACCACTGGACCCATCACAGAGTCACCCCCTTAACCTAGCACCCCACCCAGAGGCACCAGAACAAGTTGTGCAGGAACAGTAACAGGAGCCCCTGCTTCAGAGCCACAGATCAGAGAGGTCCGGCCCATACTGCTGAGTACCATCCCCACGAAAGCCATCCCCCAGGAGCCACCGATCCTGGGAGCCGCCTCACCCAGCGCCCCCGCCCAGAAGCCGAATCCAGGATGGTGATCTCAGAGGGCAAGGGTTCCCTGAGCTGGCAGTCCAGTGCTTGGGTGGGCAGAGATCCCAGTGGGGAAGAAGTAAAGGGAGAGAAGTCTTGGGGAAAGAAAGAGACAAGGGGCTCGGTGGGGTGGCTGGTGGTGACTGGCAGGAAAGGGCGCGGTGCTGTGAAGCCCCCCAGGATGTGATTCTAGGGCGGGATCGGGATGGAGAGTTTCAGGGGAGAGACAGAAAGGAAAGGCGAGCTGGGAGGGGGCTGGCGGCCAAGCCCCAGGGCTCCATCTGGGAGGGAGAGCGGAGAGGTAGAGGAGGGCCTTCTGGCTTGGGGTGGGAGGGGTGATTGATTGAGACGCCCCAGGCCCCAGCAGGCACCATGTCACCCCCACCACCCCGGAGGACTGACCCTCACACCCAGCTGGCAATCCGAGCCCCAAGAGCTGCTATGACTCTCGGCGAATAGAAATCCCTTTCCCTCCAGCAAAGCGAGAGATGCATGCGGGGTGTTCTGTTCTTGGTAGAGGCTTGAGCTTTTAAGTGAAAAACTTCTGTTAACGCCATTTGCTTCAAAGTTGTGACCCACCCTGTGTCCCTTACCTGGGGATGTACCTCACTGACCTGGCCTTCATCGAAGAGGGGACGCCCAACTACACGGAGGACGGCCTGGTCAACTTCTCCAAGATGAGAATGGTGCGTTCCCCACAGCAGAGCGGGGCAGGGGTGGGGGGAACATCAAAACCCAGACCCAAGCCCCGGGCTCACCCAAGCTGTGCCCGACAGTCCTGGCCGACTGGACACGGCACACGCACTGGGGAGCCTGAACCCGGCTTCTCCAGTAAGAACAGTCACTTCCTCAAACGAGCAGCTAGCATCTGGCAGGCCCGGAGCCAGCTCTACCTGCATCTCCTCCTTTAACGCCCACAGTCTGAGGGGTGGGTGCTCTTATTATTCCCCACCTTACAGGTGAGCAGGCTGAGGCTTGGAGTCATCAATGACCAGCCCAAGGTCACCCCTAAGGAAAAGGCAGAGCCGGGTCTGGGGCCCAAGTCTGTCAGACTCCAAAGCCTGCCCCTTTATTCACACCCCATCCATTACTGTTCAGATAAGCACTTGCGTTATGTGGCCGCAGCAAAGTCATTTCTGCAGCACCTCCTAAGCAAGTAGGTTTCCAGTTTCCCCAGAGGAGTCTAGACCCTGAGAGGGGAGATGAGGATCCTTCCAGCAGGGAGCCTGCTTTCCAGCCAACCTTCTCGTCTTCTCACTCCAACTAGAGAGCCTCTATTTGTATCGGTTCTGTGTCATGGGGTTCCTCCTGAGATTTTGTTCAATAGGTAAGGTTTCTCTGTCAAAGGCAAGTTGGCAGCACTGACCTGGGAACAGGATGGGGGAGCCCCTTGGTGTGGTCTTGCACATGGTGGGCACGTAGAAAGTGGCAGAGGCCTTTAGCTGTTGCTGGAATTGAGGGGGGCTGTTTTAGGATGTTGGATAAGCCAGCCCCACTGATCAAATGATATGTTTTTCTCTTAATCACATAGTATAATTAACCTATAGATTCTTTTTTTTTTCAGCAACAAAAATCACTCACTTCTTTTTCATTACTCAGAGAAAATGATGGGTAATTTTCTTTTACTGTATTATCTCTGAGTCTTTAAAACAATTCTTTCTTCATCATCTATCATGTGACCCTACTAAATACACTTTTTACCTTTCAGAATATGCATCTTTTTTATTGAAGTATAGTTCATTTACAATATTGTGATAGTTTCAGGTATATGACATAGTAATGCAGTATTTTTATAGATTATGTGACTGGATAAAGAAGATGTGGTGTATACAAACACACACACACACACACACACACACACACACACACACACGGAGAAAGAGGAATGTTATTCAGCCATAAAAAAGAAGGAAATTCTAAGAGGTACAAACTATTGCTTTGGCCAAAAAGTTCGTTCGGTTACTGAATACGTTGTTCAGTAAAGTTCTTGGTAAAAATGAAAAATGTGTCTTTACTTGGAACCTAACGAACTTTTTCGCCAACCCAATATTATGTATAAAATAAGCTACAAGGTTATGTTGTACAACACGGGGAATATAGCCAATATTTTATAATAGCTATAAGTGGAGTATAACCTTCAAAAATTGTGAATCACTATATTGTGCACCTGGTAACATATAATATTGTAGATCAACTATATAGTTCAAAAAATAAATCAATTGCATGAAATTCTGCCATTGGCAACAATGTGGATGGACCTAGAGGGTATTATACTTAGTGAAATAAGTCAGAGAAGGACAAATATTCTATGTCATAACTTATAACCTGTAGAGGTATAGATTCTTACCAAGTGTCAGCCTCTGAGGCAGGTGGCTGGTTTAAAGAAACTCTCGCTGCCTTAGTGGGGTCTCCCAGGAGGTGAATTAAGAGACTGACTGCAGACATGTCTGTGGATGTGTGGCATGGGTTGGGGGGAGGGGGGGTTGGGGGAGGGGGTACTAAGAGAAAACTGTCTTCCAAACCCCTCCTTCCTTCCCGCAGATATCCCATATCATCCGAGAGATTCGCCAGTTTCAACAAACTGCGTACAAGATAGAGCACCAGGCAAAGGTAAGCCGGCAGCATTTTCAGTCACTTCCGCTTTTTCACAAGGGCTCTGGCTGCACTGCCTTCCTCCCTGCCTTTTCCGCTCCACACCCAACCACTTTCTGCCCCGGAGTTCCCTGGGCCCTCTCTTTTAGGAAACCCTTCTTGTCCGCTGTCCCCTGACCCGCCCTGGGTTCCCCCTCCTTTGGACTGCACTTGTGCTAATCTTTCAGCTCCTGTCTGATTTTTACCTGCCATGGGATGGTTTATAATCATGTCTGACCTCCCCTGAGGCAGGAGAGGCAGTGTTTATCACATCTTTTCGAACTGCTCACCAGTTTCAAAATTCACAGCTAGAAAGGGCACACAGCAAAAAGCCCCCCAGCCTCCAAGTTCCCCTCCCAAAGCCAACCGTATCATCCATTTTTTGTGTGTGTATGCAAACACACCCCAACTTTTTTTTTACTATAATGTATACCGTAGCATACTATACATTGCTCCAGCATCATTCTTTTTTCCCTTAATAACATATCTTGGAGATATTTCCTGTTGAGGCAGAGGCATTCTCCTTCCTTACGGCTGCAGAGAAATTCAGGTATTTATTCGGTCCTCTATACTGATGGACATTTAGGTTGTTTCAGTCTTTTGCTGCTATAGGCAAGGTGGGGGAGAAAACACCTTGTACATTCGGGAATCAGAGGGTGCTGTGAGAGTGTGAATCCAGGGGCCTGTACTGGGGTTGGGGGACAGGGCCCGTCTGAGAAGCACAGAGACCGCAGACGGCAGCTATGAGTAGCCTCAGACAAGCCTGAACCAGGTGGGACTGTGGGCTTCTAGAAGGATCTGGAGCCGTGTCCTAAGGAGAGTGGGAAGCCCTGAAAGGAGCTTACAGGACTGGATTAATACGCATTTTTTAAAAGGTGGTGGGGCTGTATGGAGAGAGGTTGGCATGTTAGTCTCATTTCACTACTCAAACCCTGTGCCGTTAGCCCCCTTTTACAGTTAAAATAACTGGGACTTGCTAATCCAGACTCTGGCTCCGAATCCTATGACTTTTTTACGCTGCCCAGAGATGTATTTGCTTTCCATCCAGCTTCTTAACCTCCTAGTTTGAAGTTCACAAAAGATATCCAGCTCCAGACACACTCCTGAACATACCAGAAAATCAAGCTCTTAGTACTTTTCCCTTCTACTTTCCTTTGTGATAGACTTGCCCTGTTTCCTGCCATGTTCCGTGAACTCACTATCTGTCTTATAGCTGACAGCCACAAAGAGAAGAAAAATCAGTGGGTGAACCAATTGTGCCACTTCTTCCTTGTTCGCTCATTCGCTCAAGTATTTACTGAGCATGTACTGTGTGCCAGGCACTGTATTAGGCCTTGGCCCCTTCTTAAACTAGCCCTCGAGCTCCATATGCAATACAAATACATGTTACTGCCCTTCAGACTCTTTTCCTTAACAGCTTTGCAGTGGTGGTGTTTGCTGCCAGTCTCCTGCTAAAGCAAAATTTTGAGGGAAACAGATGCTCATGACGGAGGAAACTAACTAACCAGTCTGCTGATTCCCGGAGTGTTTGGGAGGGTTGAGATTTTGTGCTCTAGAAAGGGCTGTTCACAGGAAGCTGCTAGCTATTTATAAAAGTCTGGTCTATTTCACATGGCTATAAAATCGCCACATCTTTATCAGTGGCTATGAGTTCATCTAGACCGTGGTAGCTGAGATTGTCTTCCTCGAGGTGCTGGGTGAGAGCCACTCATCAGACACAATAATCATTTCATCTGTGACTGGTGATCGGCGTCGCAGGAAGCCGGTTCCGTCCCTCACGGTAGCAGAGGGTCCATCAGCAAAGACGCAACAAAGGCTTGGTTTTTCTCAAGCAGCTCAGACGATTCCCAATTACGTGCTAAGAAATATAATGTGTTTTCCTCTTTCTGCTCTGCGTTTCTGTGGAAAAACATGAACCTCCGGCTCCAAACAACTGACAAGTCAATGAGCCTTGGGAAGATTCTTTTCGAAGGGCGGGTGGGGTTTGCCTGTGAGATCTGGGCTCTGATCGCTCATCGTACACTGAACACACAGGAATCCAGCAAAACACTTGAGAGCAGTGTGACGTGAGGAGGGAGGGGGAAGGAGAGTGATTGAGTCCACGAGGTGACTCTTCCTGATTTTCCACTCTGAGATTTTGCCCTGGAGTGAGCCCCATGAGACGAAAGCCTCCTTAGACGGCCTCAGTTTCCACTGTCTTCTCTTGGGTGAATCTCTCTCGGTGTTACAAAACCTGGTGTTTAACTGCGTTTTTCCAACATACAGAAACATTGAAAGAATTGTGAACACCCGTACATCCACTACCTAGATGCTACAATTAACGTTTTAGATATGTAGATAGAGACGTTTTTTTAATATGAGCCCCAAATATTTCACCTAATGTTCAACCAAAGAAACGGTGGTCAAGAGTAATTTTGACTATATGTGATTTTATATTACTGTGAAGACAAAAAAGGCAAAAAATAATACTAAGAAACAGCACTGCTTAATGCATCTTTGCCTCATGTGCAAGCCCGACACCCCTCCCCGCCTCCACCCTAGTGCCTGATTCCCGGGAGACACCCGACGTCCACGTAGTATTATGGAGGTCCCATCGCCCTGCCATTCCTTTTTCTCTTTTCCTTTTCTCAGGTAACCCAATATTTACTGGACCAATCTTTTGTAATGGACGAAGAAAGTCTCTACAAGTGTTCTCTCCGAATAGAACCAAAACTCCCCACCTGAAGCTGTACCCAGCCCACCGCCATGGACACATGCTATATGATATTGTACATAGTCGTTTGGTTTCTCTGGGTTTTCTTCTTTAGTATGTGCTTCTCCAAGAATACAAATCCGTTCTTGTTCTTAGATTCCTGTAGAACCAAAATATGAATCTCTGCACCGGTTAGGACTTGGTCCACGCACCCCACCCCTCGTTTCCTGCAGTGCCTGTTTCTCTGAAACAATTGTACTCTTAGTCTGTTCTTCCCAGCCCCTCACTCTCCCCCAAAGGGAAAACAGAATCCGTGCATACACGAATCTTTGGCACCAGTCCTGCTTCTGTCCGTCCCCAGCCCAGGCCCCTGGGTTGAGCTGGCCACACAGCATCCTCCGGCATGTTCCATGTAGCTGTTATAACAGGGTGGGGGGTAGGGGGGAGGCGGGAGGGGGAACCGTACCCTGAAGTCCAGTCATCGACGAATCTTCCCGCTGACGGTGATGCCAATTTCCAAAGCAGCTTTTTCAGCCAAAATCGCAGGTCTCAAAACTCCGTGTCTCCCAGTGACCTGGAGGGAAAGGAGTCCTGTCCGCTGAGAACCACGCCCTGCGACACTGAGGCCACCACCTCGTTCAGGCACTACGTGGCTCCTGGCTCTGAGAATAAACCCAGGTAGCGTGACTAGCAGTCTCGATAACCCTGGACAAGGCCCTGGAACTTCCTGAGGAAAACAGAATCACAACACAAAGTCATGTCGACTTCTGCCGACGGCTGCCCAGCATTCACTGCGAGTCGGGAACACACAAGAATGTCACTTTTCCTCTATGAGCTGCCTAACGGTCACTACAAGCTTACGTTGAGTTGCTCCAAGTCTGTATGCCTTGTGAAAAAAATAGTACCACACTGTAGAATTAGGAAATCAATAACCAAGTGTTTTTATTGCATATACTGTAGTCCTGTCTAAATGCCTTCTAGCAGGAATATAGTACCGTAGTGCTTATTCTGTGAATATTACCATCTATTTTTTACATTGTACAGTATAGAAAACACAGGTTAACTCTGAAGTGGCAGGCATGCTCCACTCTGACAAACAGACAACTTTTGCTGTAAGCAATACCTAGTGGTATGAGAATTCTCTTTCAAGTCCTACAATATTTCAACTTACAGCTTGTTTGGAAAAAAAAAGAAATTTCCATTTTTGTAAAAATATATGTTTCCTGATTACCTCTTGCTAATAAATCTATTCTATCTCAGGGTGAACGGCGGAATTTTGACGGGTTTCATTGATTCACGCAAGGGATATTTGCTGAGCACTTGGTCCTTATCAGGCCCTGGGCTCAGACCAGAGATCTGGAGCGATAAGGGCAGAATCCCTGCTTTTGGGGGTTACTCAGAGTCTGATGAGGGAGACTGTTGATGTTCTCTATTGCAGCAGGAACAAATACCTCCAAAACTTAATGTGATGGCTGAAAACAATCTTTCACGGTTCTGTGAGTTGACTGGGTCCAGCTGGTGGTTCTTGCTTGGAGTCCCTTGTGAGGTGCCGGTCACAGAGCAGCTGAGGCTGGAGTCATCTGAAGGCTCGACTGGACGGGGTGTCCAAGATGGTGCTCTCCCATAGCTGGGGGCTGAGCTGGGCTGTCAACCGGAGCGTCCACACGTGGCCTCTCCACGTGGCTTGGGCTTCTCACAGTATGGCAGCTGGGTCCGAAGAGCAGCCTTCCTAGAGACTCAGGCAGAAGCTGCAAGGCTTCTTCTGACCTAGGCTCAGAATTCCCAGAACACCACACCCACAGTGTTCTATTGGTCAAGCACGTCACCAAGGCCAGCCTGGTCACAAGGGGAAGAGAATCAAGCACCTCCTCTTGATGGGAAGAGCCACAAAGAATGTGCAGCCACCTTTAAGCTACTAGAGAGACAGACCGTTTGAGCCACGCTGTCACAGGATGGTGCAGGAAGTGCCTTGGGGACACCACGGAGGAAAGGACAGTGGTGGGGGATTGGAAAAAGCTCTACAGAGGTGTAAGGATGGTGTGGGATAAGTAGGGATGATTTTCCAGAAGAAGGTGGCGGGGAGGACATGCCGGGCAGGGGGACCAGCGAAATCCCAGAAGCATGAAAGAATACACTTGTTTGGGGAAGAGCTAGTATGGGCGTGGCCCCAGGGAAGGCACTGGTCCTCCCCAGACCCCTCCTCACAACCACCTATGAAGGGTGGGCCCAGAACACGACCCTCAGTGACAGGCATGAGGCCCGCTGGGAGGCAAGACCCTTTTCCCTGGGAGCTGCAGCCAACAGGCTCCATGACTGCTTGTTTTCTTCAGACACAGAAAAGCAGTTAAGGTTGCTGGGAGGATTCAGTGTGCTGGTACAAGCTGCCACCCTGAGGTGATGAGCACGGGACCAGCACTTGCTAACCAGGAGCTATCTGTAGAGCCCTGACTGTTTCAGGTCATCTTAGGCACTGTGGACTTAGCCATGAACAATGCAGTCAAGGTCCCTGCCTTGGGACTTCCCTGGTGGTTAAGACTCTGTGCTCCCAATGCAGGGGGCCCGGGTTCTATCCCTGGTCAGGGAACTAGATCCCACATGCCACAACTAAAAGATCCCACGTACCAGCAACTAAAGATCTGGCGTGGGGCTTCCCTGGTGGCGCAGTGGTTGAGAGTCCGCCTGCCGATGCAGGGGACACAGGTTCGTGCCCCGGTCCGGGAAGATCCCACATGCCGCGGAGTGGCTGGGCCCGTGAGCCATGGCCGCTGAGCCTGCGCGTCCGGAGCCTGTGCTCCGCAACGGGAGAGGCCGCAACAGTGAGAGGCCCGCGTACCGCAT